AGAGCTTGCAGTCCAAAGTGAGGTGTTAAAACTGAGCTTGCAGTTCAAAGTGAGGTCTTAAAACTGAGCCCGCAGTCCAAAGTGAGGTGTTTAACTGAGAGCCTGCAGTCCAGTGTGAGGGAGTTAAACAACTTGTAGTCCAAAGTGAGGGATTAATACTGAGAGCTTGTAGTCCAGTGTGAGGGATTCAAACATTGCCTGCAGTCCTAAATGAGGGATTTACAACTGAGAGCTTGTAGTCCAAGTGAGGAATTAAAACCGAGAGTTTGCAGTCCAGTGTGAGGGATTTAAACAGAGTTTACAGTCCAAGTGAGGGATTAAAACTGAGCCCGCAGTCCAAGTGAGGGGTTTAAACTGAGAGCCTGCAGTCCAGTGTGAAGGAGTTAAACAGAGCCTGCAGTCCAAAGTGAGGGATTAATACTGAGAGCTTGTAGTCCAAAGAGCGGGATTAAAACTGAGCCCGCAGTCCAAGTGAGGGGTTTAAACTGAGAGCCTGCAGTCCAGTGTGAGGGATTCAAACAGAGCCTGCAGTCCTAAGTGAGGGATTAAACTGAGAGCTTGCAGTCCAATGTGAGGGATTCGAATTGAGAGCCGCAGTCCAATGTGAGGGATTTAAACAGAGCTTGTAGTCCAAGAGAGGGATTCAAAGAGAGCTGCAGTCCAAAGTGAGGGATTTAAACAGAGCTTGTAGTCCAAGAGGGGGATTTAAAGAGAGCCTGCAGGCCAATGTGAGGGATTTAAACTGAGAAATTGCAGTCCAATGTGAGGGATTAAAACGGAGCTTGCAGTCAGAGTGAAGGATTTAAACTTAGAGCCGCAGTCCAAAGAGGGATTTAAACAGAGCTTGTAGTCCAAGAGAGGGATTCAAAGAGAGAGCCGCAGTCCAAGAGAGGTTAAAGAGAGCCTGCAGACCAATGCGAGGGCTTTAAACTGAGAGCTTGCAAACCAATGCGCGGGGCCAACTGAGCCTGCAGTACAAAGCGCGGGGCCAAAACCGAGCCTGCAGTACAATGGGAGGGGAATAAACCGTCCGTAGGTCAGCATACTTACCCACAACGCCAGAAGACAAGGGAAAACACAACGGGACCACACCGTACCGGCACGAGGAGGCAGGGATGCGCACAGCTCCCACCGCACCGGGCCAGACCGGCCGTATGCAGCAGCAGGCCGCGACGAGACGAGCAGCGGCGAACCCGCAGAAAGAGCCCGCAAAGGAGGAGAGCGGCAAAGACCCACGGACCACAGCACGAGACCCGCAGCAGGTGCAGCGACGCGGAGGAGGAGCAGACCACACACAGCAAGACAGAGGACAGCAGGGACACGCACGCGTAAGCGTGAGTAGACGAAAGCATTCCTCCAGAACGACTCGTTGCAAGGCTTCGAGAAGGCCGTAAAGTGGGAGTTTCTCCGCTTTTAAGCGGCTGGCCTGGCCGGCGTAGGTTGGTTGGAAATGGGCGTTTGCTGTGCGATAGGCTGGGGATGCGAGGCCGGCCTGGAAGGGGTGGCTTTGGCTGACGTCTTCCAAATTGAATTTCCGCGAGGCTGCATTTGTCTTTTGTCTGGTACCATTCTTCATCATTCCCACAAACATCACCCTTACTTAAGTCAGATTGTAGGCTTTTCTATTCTGCTCTGGCCCTGACCGCTACAAAATACGAGGAAAAGGATAATTATGTTCATGATATGCCTGATATCCTCAAGATGTAATATATTTAAAATAACCTAATTTCTTTGCAGCCAATACTGTATTGAGAATGAAGTATTTCTAAAACAAAGTAGCAGCAACACTTTATGCTTTGGATTGAAAATATAGCCAGTGATGCACAACGTCCAAATCAATACTTACTCAAAAAATATACAGCTCCTTAGATGTTACTTGACGTGCAATTTTTTTTAACCTGCTAAACCTTCCTAGAAGATAATGTATGAACAGATTTTCCTCCTTGTCGGTGTCTGTTTTTTTGTGTTTTTTTTTACATTTGTATGTTTACCAGGATGTAGCAGTGCATATGTCAAGACCAGTGGCGGCTGGTGGAATTTTCTACTGGGGGGGCTATGAATATGATGACTAGATATAAATGCACCACAGAATTTGACACAGTCTATTATTTTTGATAGGATGTGCCTATTCTTGTCAACCTCCTCATTGTGCTTTCTGATCCCTACCCTGTAGCTTTCATCCAGCTGGGATGAAATATTTATCTTCCCAAACATAGCTAATTTGAGGGCATTTTGCATGTGGATACCAGTCTGCTCATGCTTCTTTGCCTTTTCTAAAAAGTGCTTCAGATCAGTCATACCTGTCTTGATCCATGCTGGGTCAGATCCTGATGTTTGAAACAAGAGGCATGGAAAGCAAAATAAAGCATTAGCCTCGCTACATGCTGCTAGCCAAGATTTGGCGCTGAACCAGGTCCTGGAAAAAGTACGAGTGTACCGTCTCCCCCTGTCGCTGGACAGACTGCTGACTAATGGTAATATTTGGCTGATCAGGTCCAAGCTCTTTAACCTCAACCTTCTCCTGGTATGATCTTCTCTCAAACGGTATTGTTTTGAGTGATCTAACTGAATTATTCTTTTTCTCGTTCTCCATTTTGCATCTGTTTACGTTCGTCTCAAACTCCCACAGCTTGACCTGTCAATCACTGTAAACGGACGTCACAGACAGTGACAGTACAGGTCGCGGGCGATCCCGCCCCCTCAGGGCGCACTTCTCCTGCGCCCCCAAATCGTCTTATCTCTTGCATTGAAGAGGAGCTACTGCGCATGTACAACTTTTAACGAGAGTCCATAGACGGCTCAGGCAAGCCCCGGCGATCCAAGATGGCGCCCTATTCAAATAAATGGTTGTGCTCAGTGGCGCTTTGTGACGGCATGGGGGCTGAAAGATTAGCGGAAGTTGCCTGAAACTCGAAAAGATCTATGGGAAACTCGCCTGTATTTGGGCATAGTCTGGTCCTCCCGGTTCTGCGCAGTGGATGATCTCCCATAATGCGTTGCGCCAAACACGCGTGTGTGGGTCTCACACCGGGTCTCACGCACGTGCACAGAGGGTCTCGGCCGCGCTCTGACCAATCAGAGCAGTTCATCAGAGCGGGAGTTAGAGCGAGAGCCAGAGGAGCAGAGTTTGTGGCACTAAAGTGTGGATTTAAACAAAACCAAAGGATTTAAGAAGAAAAAAAGTTCAGGATGACAAGGGACACTAAAATCCCCACAAAATCCGATCTTTATGAAAGCTGTAGGTTCTCTGTCAGCTGAGGTTGAGCTGTTTTAATATGCATTGAGTTCTATGGGGAAAATTTCTGGGTGGCCCAGGTGAATTTTGTCTGGTTCAGTCTGCAGTACCGCGAGAATCCCCTGAGCACGTGAGTTATTCAGCTACAAGCTAGTAATACCCTATCCAGTTATTATAATACATCCATGGGCTCAGGGCGCAATCTTTTGCGCCCTGAGGCGGAAATACGTCCTCAGTCCGACACAGACAACGCTGATGAGCTTAATCAATCCAACTCAGCATAAACTATAAAGTATTTCTTCCACATCTGAAATAAAACACACATACATTTCGAAATATTTTAATGTTATTATTTTTTTTAACGTTTTATTCAAGGTAACATGGCAAGTTGTGAGTGGTGGGGCGGCGCCCTAGCGCCCTCTATTGGCCGGCCGCCACTGGTCAAGACGCACTAGGGTCCACTATAGTGATGAAAGTGCAAATGTGACTTTAAAACTCACACATAGGGAAGAAAACAAGCATTGAAAAGCTGTCCACTGTAGAGAACACTGTGTATGAAAGGGTTCAAAAGTAACAGAATGTAATGTACACATCTGACTTTGTAAAAAAAAATTCTGAAAGGGTCAGCATTAAATACAAATTGTAAATACCATCATAAAACATTCATCAAAGATGCCCTTTCTCTATTTCAGCTTCTATCTGATGAAGATGAATTTGAGCTTTGAAATGAAGTGACAATTTGAATGGTGGTGAAGTGCTGCCCTCTACTGGTCTTGACATTATGCTCTCCAATGAAGCACGTATATGATGTTCTTATCATAAAGGAAGTTATTTTCTGCATTCTGAAACCTTTTTTTTATATTCTACCTGTTTTTCAAATAAATAATAAAATAATAAATGTATCACAGAGCGGACATAGCTACTGGCTCATATTCATCCTTAGTCCCTGAGCAGCTTTACAGTGTACAATATTTACAAAAGATAAATTACAAAATAGCATTCACAGCCACAGAGAGACAAAATATATGCAACACACAATTGTTTGCAATCACACCTGATAATCTTTGAGTTACGTCTTTAAATTGCAGTGAGGCATAAATCATACTCATAATAAAGACAATGTCCTCAAAAATTTTAATATATCTTCAAATATGAGAACAAATGTTACCCTCTCAGATCACAGCATGTTATTTGCACATTAGATCAGAGTGCATCAGTGCCCTCCTGACGCTGGGTGGTAAATCATTTCACTGTGGAAGGAAATTATCATTCCATACAAGTTTGGAAAACAGACTCAGGGCCCGTCTAATGAAGCGTGGCGTGAGCCTCGTCTTCATCACTCCCACACAGAATACACTCCACAGAAGCACAACTTAATGATCCACGCTCACACTTTCTGTGGACGCAGTGCAGTGGAGAAAAAAGAATCTTTTTAAATGTGAGAGCCGAGAGGAGCACGTAATTGCAGTAATGAAACTACTGATGCGTTAAAAAATAATAATTTATTTACAAACAAATGTTAAAAATGTCCGATTTAAAAGAAGAGCGGATTAAAATCTGTCCCGACACGTGTTCGCTCCGCCCAGGTCCCTTCAGCGTCTCGGGTCCTGCAGGCACAAAAACACAGCGGCAGCGGAGTGGAGGCCAACAGCAACGCTACACCGACATCTCGTCCACTAAAACACGAGCACCGCTGCTTTCACACACTTACCAGCGAGGCCGAGCTTTTACACTCGGCCGCCGTCTGGATTACGCCTCGCGGTGCTCAACCCGGCACAATGCGTCTCTTGCGGTGCCACGGACCCTGGAGGCAGAGCACAACCACACAGAGAACGCCAATACACCCCACAGAATCCCCCCCGCCAAAGGCTACTACATGAACACCACTACTCAATGTGTTGAGGTACTTACACGCGAAGGCAGAGCGTCCTCTGCCTCCTGCGGTAGTTCGGCTTCGTGGTGTTCCCTGGGGACTCGTGAGGCAATGGCGATCACTGTGGTCCGGGTCGTGGTTCCGGTGCTGTGCTGTCCCGTGTCCTGCTCTCCGTATCACTGTTTTCCTCCCTTTCTGCTCCCAGTCCGTCCTTATGTGCCCATGCTCACTCAGTTGCAGGTGCGCTGATTACGCTGTGAGTGCAGGCATTGGCTGGGGCTCAGGTGGCCCGGGCAGCAAGGCACAACGTGGAAGTAAATAACACTCATAAAACCAAATAAAACCATACAATAAAACAGTCCATGCAACAAATAAAACCACACAATAAAAGTCCACACTATAAATATAAAATGTGCCTGCTTACACCCCCCCACCCTTCACGTTGTCAGTCCCTGCAACGTCCACCTACTCTTGATAGCGGGCCGGCTTCTGTCCAAAGGTTGCACGGTTGGAACGCCTGGGTAAGTCTTGTTGTCCCTCTTGTCCTTGGGGCCCAACAGGCATTGGAAAAAAGTGTCTCTGGGGCTGGCTCTCTGGGTTGGGGCTGAATGTCAGGCAGGGGCACTGTACACACTTTGAGAGCGTTCCGGTGGATAGTTTGTTCTCTGCCACCTTTTTCTGGCCGAACCCTATATACCACCCCTGTGTCTCCTACAGTGTCCATTATCACAAAGGGCTCGGGGTCCCACCACGTGCTCAGTTTACCTTTGCCTTGCCTGTGTCTATTGCGAACCCAAACGCGTTCCCCAGGTACCAACGGTGGGGCATTGGCTCTCTTGTCGAACTGCTGCTTGTGTTGGGAGGCTGCATGGGCTGCTCTTTGTTGGGCAAGATTGTAAGCAAACGAAAGTTTATTTTAATGATCCCTTACCCACCCAGGAATGTCAAACTGGCCCTGGTGGGGATTCACACCCAACCCCACATCAACCGGGAGTCGCAAGTGTCGACCAAACATAAGGTAGGTTGGGGCATAACCTGTGGCACTGTGTACTGTGTTGTTATATGCGTGTACTAGCTCAGGTAGATACTCTGGCCAACGGTTCTGCTTCTCCTCCTCTAGGGTCCGAAGCATGTTCAATAATGTCTGGTTAAAGCGTTCCACGCTCCCATTACCTGCAGGATGGTAAGCGGTGGTGCGGCTTTTTGAAATGCCGTACATCTCGCACAACTGCTGCATTAAGGCAGACTCAAAGTTCGGGCCCTGGTCGGAGTGAAACCGTGCAGGGCAACCGAACTGTTGTATGATGTACTTCCAGAGCATCCTGACTGTTGTTTGGGCCGTCTGATCCCGGGTGGGTATAGCCCACGCAAAACGAGTAAATAAATCTGTGGCAACCAGAACATTTTGCCACGCGTCACCAGGGCGACCCAACGAGAGGAAATCAAGCCCTATTATTTCTAGAGGGAATTTCACAGAGACTGGATGAAGCGCAGCTCTCGGCTCGATACGACTCTTCTGTATGCTACATAAAAGGCAGGACTGATGAAACCAGCCCACCTCCCCCTCCATACCTGGCCAGAAGAACTGCTGCCGGATCCGGGCCAGGGTCTTTTCGGGTCCGAAGTGTGCTCCGGCCTCGTGGGTCTTTCTCCAGACCTCCTCCCGCTTGCTCTCAGGACACACGATTTGGGGGTGCTCCTCCAAGGTGTGAGTGTTCAATACGACACGATGCAGAACACCATCCCTCACCTTGAGTTTCCCCCAATGCTGCAACAACTTCTGGGAGGACCGAGAGAGAGACAAGCGTTCGGCCCGTTTGGGGAATCTTTGCCATTCCACGTACCGCTTTACAGTCTGAATATCATGGTCAGCGGCTTGAGCTCCTCTCCATTCTTCTCCATCTGGGGTCACCTCCACGGCCGCAGAAGTGGGTTCGGTCTCCAGTGGGGAAGTCCCTGCAGGCAATCTGGACAGCACATCTGCATTAACATTAGACCTGCCAGAGCGGTATTTTACGGTGTAGTCGAAGGAAGCTAGCTGTGCCACCCAGCGTTGCTCCACAGCCCCCAAGTTGGCTGTCTGCAAGTGTGCCAGGGGATTGTTATCTGTATAGATGGTAAAACGGGCCCCAGTCAAATAGTCTTTAAATTTCTCAGTCACAGCCCACTTGAGGGCAAGGAGCTCGAGTTTAAAAGAGCTGTAATTAGAGTCATTCTGCTCCGTGGGGTGTAAGCTCCTACTAGCATAGGCTATGACTTGCTCGCTTCCATCCTGTTCCTGGGATAAGACCGCTCCTAGTCCCTGATTACTGGCATCGGTGTAAACAATGAAGGGCTGATCGTATTGGGCATACGCAAGGATGGGTGCTGATGTCAAGGATGCCTTAAGCGA